AGCACATACCAGTTAAGTGAGAGCCAAAACACCCCTATGAGGGGGTAGGCTAACCCTGTCCTAGTTTCGTCAGGAACTAGGGTTCACTATTCAAACAAAGCGGTTTCACACAATCCTGTATTTAGGTGATCATTCTATCCTAGTTTGGAACAGTCTCTGTGACTTTTCGATATACAACTAGGCCAAATGGTCAGAAGGAAACCTCAGCAAGACTACCTAATATACCTCTCACACCTAACACAGAGAGGTGAAAGGAGGATCAAATGGTACAGCGATAGTCCAAATCCAAGGGTTGTGTTCCCATCATGGAAGAACCCGTGACCGGTCAACCTTTTGGCAAGCTTTTTAGGCAAGCATCCGACAAACCATCCAGGAATAGCAAATGGTAATCACAGTGACTTAAATGCACCAATGCAAAGAAACATATAAGTGTAGATAAAATGTCATATCATGAATTTCAAGCCAAGTTCTCTAATTTCCCCAGCGGAGTCGCCAGAAAAGTGTAACTTGACTTTTCGTGCCCCCTTTCGGAAGACGAATAAGCCCTACAATATCGAACTCCCACGATTTTGAATCTAATCTCACAAGTGCAACGTGAAATAGATAAACACCAAAGAGTCCCAATCTGGCAAATCTTTTGGAAAATCGATTTTGAATAAAAAATGCCAAAGTGGACTGCTTTGCAAGATACAGAGTCGCCGCCTAAATATTTTTTGGAAAAATTTAGGAAACCCATGACTCGTGCCAAAGGCCACGTGTCTGTCATTACCAAGATTGTCTCGGCTTGGGAACTTTGGTACGAGAGGGGAAGGTCATGAATTGAGCACCCCCGCTTGCTTGATAAAAAATTGGCCTCTACTAATCGTGATATGAATCTTATTTACATTATATGCTCTTGTTCCGATTATTAGGCTAGCATTATTATGTGATGCGCACACACACAAGTATAGACTAATTTGTAAGAATTGGAACGCTAGATTCATGTTTGTTTTGAAAAATTGTTTCAAATATGTACCACTTAAAAAAGTGATCACATGTAAACATTACTCAAATTATCCCAATTCAAGCAACTAGCCTTTATCCACAGGCATTTAAACAGTTTATCAGATAAGTGTTTAGCCTCATGGTAGGCATGCTAAATATGGAAACAATCACACTCATGCAATTATGCTAAAGCTAATAAAGCTTACCTAGTACTCCAAGCCATAAAAATGATAAAGTTAGAAAGATGCATGATCCTATCTACGCAATATGACTAATGCAACATATGTGATATGCAAATACTAGGCTCGGCTACTAATAGCATGCAGTCTAAGCATGTATTCAAAGAAGTATTTAAACTAACAATGCAGTAAGAATGATGAACCGAGCCTCGGTGCATGCAATACAAATGGATGCAAACATGAAGAATGCTAAACAAAATATGATGCTTCAATCTAACCAACATAAGCAGGTAAATAAAAAGGAGAAAAACGTGGGGTTAAAAGGCATACACATTATTACAACATTGCGCCCTCACACAGGAGGATCCGAATGAACTAACTAGCTAACTAATTAAAGCTAAACTAATTAATTAACTATTAAAAAATGAAATGAATAAATAGCTAAACTACTTAACTAATTATTATAAACCAAATTAATTAACTAATCTAACTAATTAAAAGAATTACAACACGTAATGAATTAACTATTCTAACTAATTAATTTACAAAGCCACTACTTCAGGCATAACACTAATATTGTTACAACACGAATCTGGAGGATCGATGGAAGACCCATACATGAATGCGATTTTCACGCAAAAAGTCAATGTTTTTGTTACTGAATGTCTCTGTTGCACAGTAGATCACTTGCACTGATTTCCACCTCCAGACCAACTCTGCTCTGCTGGGGGAGTACACTACTTGAATTTGCACCGGTGGCCGACAGAGGGCCTACTATCCACTGATGATGGCTTGCCGGCCACCAATAGGGACCTGCCGGCCACTGATGCCTGAACTTCCCTGCTGCAACATAGAGCAAATAATGTAGAGTGTATTTTCAAGGGTTTGTTTGCACAATTTACCCCTCCTTATCATGAATAAATCAAAGGAGTTGTAAGCTTGGTTCCCAAACCATCAATCTATGCAACTGCATTGCAAGATGGCCTATGAACCAAAGTGTGCAAGTTTAATAAATGTAAGAAAACAAGACTCTTAAAACCACCCCCTATCATGAAAGATCAAGGAAAGTAGTTAACAATGAATCTTGAACCATTTTCATTACTAATGAGTATGAAACAACTCAAGACTCAAGGGTTTAATTAACGTCCGATTGAATCCAAACAAGTTATTATCTTGAAGCTTTTTTTAGTTTCAATTTTATTACTTCATTTAGTTTACCAACCATTCTTTAATCAATTGAGTCCAAATGGTGAATTTAAGTCCTCTAATGGAAAGAGGGCTCAAACCAAAAGTTGCTTTAGTCATGAAAGAGACATCATACCATTGGTAATGAACCCCAAAATGATTAAACTATTAAGCATGACATCTCAATCTCATGCTTAAACAAACAAGTAGTTTAAAACCACTTTCAAAGAAAAACAAAAGCCAAGAAAGGAGGGAGGTTGCAGAGGTGGTTAAGAGTGATCACAAGTATGGAAAGCCATAAATAAATGTAATCAACTCAAATACGATGGGGTCTAAGGCCTAAAACACCAAACTCATGAGGACAATTACATTACAAGCATGCAAAACAAAGCTCAAATGCAACAAACACTTAAAGACAATCCTAAAATAGTCTAAAAACAGTCCTAAAACATGCTGGAATTAAGACAAAAATAGTTAGATTAATAAGCTAAAACATGGAGCATGCTAGACTAGTAAGCAAAACATAAGGAGGGGAGACTAACCCCTCCAATTTTGGACTTCAAAAAAAAAAATTTAGCCATTGAAATAACTTTCAAAATCAGTGTTTAAAAGCTCAAAAAAAGATAGTGTGAAGGTGGGAAATACAAGGGAAAAGGCCTTGAGAGAAAGGTGTAACGAAGGGTGAACCACCCCTCAACCTTTATTGGCCTTAAAACCTAAGTTTTAGCCCAAAAATATAGAGGTTTTACAGCCCAAAAACTGTTTGAAAACAGTAAGGAAAAGAGTAGATACAACAAGTAAAGAGGCAAAGCCTTATACCTTTGAAGAGAAGAGCACTTTCCAGGCAATAAAACAAGGAAAACACACCCTCAAAAGCTCAAGCAAGGCTCTAAGGTACCTCAGCTCAAAGATGGAGAGGTTTAGTTAAGAGTGTATAGGCAAAGGTCAAGAAATTTGCAAGAGAGAGAGAGAGAGAATTGTAGAGAGAGAGAGAGGAAAAATTTTGGAGAGAGGGGTCTCCTATATATATAAAATATGAATTTCCCTCATAAACATCCAGCCATACACGTGGGAGCAAATGCAAGCATCTGTGCAAACAGCTGGCATAGCTGTCACAAAATATCTACAAAACACACTGGTGGCCGGGAAGCAACTACTAGTGGTTGGCAGGCCAGATCAGTGGCTGGCAACCAAAAGTGATGGCCGGCAACCACCAGAGGTTGCAGGCTTGAAGATCACTGGATTTGGGTACAAAACAAAGGCAATAGGGGTGTAGAGTTTGAAAGGCACAAAGCTATAGCATTCCGCTGAGGACTTCGAGCACTTGACAAGCATATGCACTCATCATTGGATATGCAAGTGATGACGTCCAAGTTGTAAGGGCCGTAAAAAATAGGGTGTCTATAGGCACACTCACCAAAAGCCAGAGACATCGTAATAACCAGAAAGCTGAGGTCTAAGTGTAACAAAGAAAAATAGCCAAACCAGAGATCAAAGGCTAATAACTAGAAAATTGCGGGGTTCAAAATGTAATAAACCCAAAATTGACCATAATAACTAAGCCAGGGGTCAGAGTATACAAAACAGGAAACTGAGGGGCTTCTAGTGTAATAAACCTAAAAGGGTTTTAAGTGTAAATACCCAAGAAATAGAATCATAGAACCAGCCAAGAAGTAGACCTCACAATAAGGCTTAGACGAGAGAGACCAGTGAGTGAGAAAGAATCGAACCAGAGTAAGAGATCAATAGCGATCAGACCAAGACTAGAATATCGTGACTTCAGACCACTAGTCAGAGGACCTTCGCTACTTCAGACCAAAGAACATATGAACCAAAGATGTCGCGAGTATGAACCAGATGGGTCGTGAACTAAGATGAGTTGTACAAGCCAGAAAAATCAGAGGATTGAAGCAGTTGACCCAATGATGAATCAGACAAGAGAGAGAGCAGAGGATCGATCAAACGAAGCAGATGACCCAAACGATGACAAGAACAAAGAACTCGATTGAATCAGAGATCAAAACCAAAGAGAGATTCGTGTTGGCTGCTAGGGTTTCGGACCAAGCTCTGATATCATGTAAGCTTTTTTGAATGACCTGTATATTCAACTTGTAAATAATACAAAGATTACAACCAGTATTTATTGGAATCCTAACCCTAATCTAGAATAGGAAATACAAACCTAATTCCATATTTACATAGCATTCCATAATTACATAGCAACCTAATTCCATATTTACATAATAGTCGTAAGTTACACAATATATTCTCACAGCATCTCCTTGTTCACCTCTTTTCTTTGGTTAGAGGTGTCAACTGTAATTGCAGTGCTCCGCTATGTATTGTAATGCTGGACTCTGACTCTCAGTAGTGTCACTGGAAGTCATAGATGGTGGTGCATGTGTAGAAATACACTTTTTTTGCTAGTTCTCAATTCCTACATATTATATAAGGAAATAGCAATGACCAACATATAACTACAAGTTTCCTTGTGTTCTATTGGACTTTATTTTAATAAATAGACTGAAACAAGGCATGGGATTTTCTATATCCAAAATTTGGGAAATTTGTAAGCATAATGTCGGTCACATGATCAGGTGAGTGGAATTTTGGATTGTAATATAAAGCACCTAAAATATTGAAAGAAATTACCTTTTCCCTCTACTTGTTTTTGTAATATTGATGAGTTTGAATTGACGTTTATTGTGATCATGTCATTTTTGTCTGTTGCATTTCCTACAGAGTCCTTAACATTGTGCTTGCTCTTCACAACAGCAGCCATGTGACTGTGCCCTTTTTGGAATTGGTTCAGTATATCATACAGTGGTAAACTGTCCCCCACCCTTTCACAGATAAAATCACGCACAAAAAAATAAGAAAAAATAAAAATATTTATGGCATTGCTTGCAAATTCAAGACCAAAATACATTTATAAAATTTTGTACCTAGGAATTCTCCTGATGGTAAGAATGCTGATTGGTTTTTCGTCTTCAGCACGACATTTGATTAAATTTTTTACCTAACAATCATAGAAAATGTCATAATAGTTGATTTCCATTGTTTTGTCTCTTAAAACACAAAAAAAAAAAAAAACAAAAACAAAAACAAAAACAAAAACAAAAACAAAAATGAATAAAAAATATGAACACAAACAAATAGGTTGTTACAGGTTCCACCATATATGCTTACCAAAATAAGGCCTATAATATTTGATGGGCTTCCTGAATAGACAGGTATGCGACTGTGCCCTTTGCTCATTATCAAGCTCACTGTATCCCTGGGAGAGCATAACAAACATATATCTCATCTCATAAATAAACTTATAAGTAGAAAATGGTGTAAATATATGCAGAGATCGAAGTAAGTTTTTTTGCAGCGTACTCGTCTAGTTTAGAATTCAAATCAAGAGAAAATATTTCAGATAAAGGTGTCATAGCATCTTTAGCAGTCTTCTGTGTTAAATCCAAAGCTCCAGAGATAATGGTAGTTTCATGATGTGTTAACTCTCCACCTTTCCCTGCCTGATAATATAAATACGAGGATATCAACACTGTATCACTTTAGCTTAAACTTAATTTAGTACTAGCACTAGCACTGTCAACATTGCATTCATTCTAAACGATGCCCGCACTCTACAATAGGGTGCAACTTGGGTGGCACCAATTGGAGCAACCCAAGCCCAACCCAAAAATTTTAAGCCATGGGCAATATATATTTGAATTATGAGTAGACTTGGGCAAAATGTTTAGAAGCCCAAATAAATTTGGGCCGGGTGTGACAAATGTTGAGTATCTACACCAATGTGAACTTAGCTATGTAAGTCAAGTATGGAGGCTATAAATATAGATTTTCTGAAGATTTTCAAAACTAGGGTGGTCGTGTAGTAAGCTTGCCGTTTATTTTTTTATAGTTGGTTGTTGGCAAGCAAAGGTTGGCAAGCATAGGCTTTCCCGTTTGTGTATAAATAGGGAAATCTATGAGCTGAGTTAATCATTAGAGCGTGAAGAAAAAGAGAGAGCATGTGAGAAGTGTATGAGAGCTCTGAGCTGAGTAAAGAGAGTGATATACTTCTCATCCTCCTTTGTTTTTTGTGTTTTTGCTCTATTATAATGCCTTCTTTTTCTCTCTCGTGGATATAGGTATTGGGCCAAACCACGTAAATATTTGCCTCATTTGTGTGTGTGATTGAATTCTGAGTGTGCCTAATCCTAACAACAAAGACACTAGACAACCCTGAAAACCTAATAGCATATGTAAATATATAAAAAATATTAAATATACATATAAATTATTTGCCGTTGAATGATGTTAAACTAATATAGATGATCATATTCATATACATCATACACACAAGTTACAACACAAAATCTATCATTTCCGTTTCGCTCAGAAATGACAAAGGCTGGTGCTGCAATGCAATGATTTCTTCACCTCACTCATTATATAAATTATTTGTTTTGACGTTATTAATGATTTTATCTACAAAAAAATGTTAATAGGGTCTAACTTTAACAAATTAATTAGCCTAACTGTAAAAAATTTAAAAACAAAATCTCTAATTTGTGGGTAATTGGGGCCTAACCAGAGTTCAATTTATTATGCTCGTGTTGGACTTGGCTAGACAAATGCAGGTTGGAAGTCAGGCTCTATCAGGATAAATGCAATGTGAACGCTTTTCTGTGAAAAATTTCTCGCCCCGTAGGTATTAATATCAGCAACTAACCTCATTTCCATGCATGTCCACCAATATCTTTAGTTCTGCCCGTCTCATAAGTGCAGAATGCCCCTTTCCAAGGAGCCCATCCAACAACTGTCACAATATGAACAGAAATTCCCATTTCATTTAGACATAAATTGGCTTCTTCTCCATGTTGCTTGGTATTAAGCACTTGAAATTCTCAAACTGCAGGTATACGAAGGTGGTTTTCACTTCATATTTAGAAGCATATTACCTTACTAATTGGGTATGCTATTGGGAAGACAACTATGACAAGCAGCTGAACAACTACTGACAATTTGGCACCAACACCAAGTCCATACCGAGAACACACAGCCTGAGGGATAATCTGAGCAGAACAAAAAAAGAAAAAGAAAAAACTACAGTGACTTCATTCAAGAAATTACCTCACCAAATGCAATCAAAGAGGGATAAAGAGTTAGCAGTGCATTATTAAGCTATCAGCAATCAAGCTAGCACATCCCAAAACAAACACTGTTTGTTCAAGAAATTACCTCACCAAATGCAAGTATGAGGGACACTGATATCAATATAGCGCCCCATGCTGGTAGAAGTGCATCAAGGAAAATGGGCAGTGCCTTAATGTAAAAAAAAAAAAAAAACACATTGTTAAATTAATATATTTGAAGATATAGAATTGTTGAAAAATATACCAAAAAAACTAACATACCTCCATTGCCATGGCATTGCATATGAGGAGGGTACATAGAAGCAAGTGTTGATTCTTAACAATGGGGAGAATCTTCTCTGCCATCAAGAACATGTGGAAGCAAATATAGCTTTAGAAAACAAAGTAATGAAATGAGTGAATGAAAAGAGTATAAAGATCAAATTTAGGCCAACCCGCATTCTTCCTGTCTTGGGGCTGACCGGCCTTGGTAAGGACCTCAAGATCGACAAGGCTGAGAGACATGAGTCCCAGAGTAAGACCTGACATGAGACCGGCAAAAGCTACCAGGACCACAGATATGAGTAGATAAACCCAAAACATGGTCTCACAACACGGCACATCATTTGCTGCCATTTGTGACTGTTATGAACTGAATTATGATTGAACTAAAGCAAATAGAGGATCAGATGGAGCAGAACTAAGGCAGTTTAGTATAAATATGGACAGCTATTGACAAAGAGCAGGAATTCTAACTTCATGCAGTGCGAAAGGGAAAAGTAGTCCAGATGCAGAGTCGTAGGTGACCAAAAAGCCAAGACACAACTGCCAAAAACTGATGAGTATGTTATGGAATTGGAGAAAGATGATAAGGGACCTCCATTTAAGAAATGAAAAAAAATGACTACTAAACTAATAAAATATATGTCATCAGACCCACAATTGATTGCGATGCAGTTAAAACCCCCAAAAGAAAATTTTAGTTATTAATGATGTGGAACGAGTCGCTATACATAAGGCGACTAGAGGTTGATTTTTTTATGGCCATAATGATGTGGAACGAGTCGCTATACATAAGGTGACTAGAGGTTGATTTTTTTATGGCCAATGGAAGAGGGTGTTTGAGATGATTTGAATAAGGATATTTTTTAATTTTTTATGAAAATATGTATAAAAAGTAGAAAATTAATCAGTGTGTTTGGTTTGAACTTTTTGGTTTAAGTTTTTTAAAAATTGAGTTTTTCTATTTTCGTGTTTTTTTGTTTTTAGTGAATATTTTTTAAATTTTAAATATTTTTTTTTACTTTTTTAGATGCACCTTGCATAGATGTATCTAAAAAGTAAAAAAATTATGAAAAAATATTTTAAAAAATTAATAAATACAAAAAAATACAAAAAATATACTGAATTCTCGTAATTTTTTTTTTGTATTTTTGGTATTTAGTAAATTTTTAAAAGGTTTTTTTCACAATTTTTTTTTTACTTTTTAAGTATATTTATGTTTAGTATGTCTATGGATTTAAAAAAATTGCTTAAAATATTAAAAAAAATTCAGTAAAAACAAAAAAAAAACACAAAAAACAATAAAGTACAATTTTTTAAAAAGTATTTTTGGAAAACTCTAACCAAGCAATGTGATCTAAAATGATAAAAAAAAAATTTAAAAAAATGTGCTAATATAAGTGATGTCAAATAGTGCCTAAAAATATTATTTTGGGAAACAAGCTTGGATTGTTTTTCGAATTTGATGGTTTGGTCCAAAATGGCCCTGCAAATAAAACCCCTTGTTTTGTTGTGACACTAATCGCTTTGTGTTTTTTTTTTTTTTTTTTTTTTTTTGACAGGTCTCTTTATTAATTTGTATTTTGTGTTTTGTTATTATTGGAAATTGAGTTGGGTTTATAACCCACATCCGATTGGGTCGCTAATGGTGGCATCACTCATTGAGAGACCCTGTTAGGAGAGGTTCATTTTGAATCAACTTATCTTGGAAATAAAAGCATATAAACCATTATCTCATATTACAGAGTTGTAGGTGGTTATAATTCTCTCACATAATATACCTATTATATTTGGGAGACTAAATTTTAAACATATGGGTAATCAACTCTCTCTCTTTCTCTCTCTCTCTTTCTCTCTCTCCTGGCCTTTCTCTCCTTTAGCCTTTGTACTGTGAATAGTTCTCTAATAGTTTTACCTCATTGTTGAGAATTGTTCGAGTTGATCAATGGAGGCACGTGATTTACCCACATGATCATTGAATTCAATTTGACCACAAAAAATATGTCCAAATCCGTTTATTTATTTTCTATTATTTTTCCAACAGCTATGTATGGGATCGTGATCCTTAGTTCAAAATTAATTATATTTCTCAATTTCCGTGGTAGTCCTTGTGGCCTAATGTTTTTCTTCTATTGGGGATTTGACATTGACGATATCTTCTGACTGTTTCGCTATCATCTTTATGTCAGGCAGCATTTGCTAGAAGCATAAAAGAGTTATTTGGGAAAGGAATGCACCTTCGAACTGCTTCCACAGAGCCAGTAAAATGACAACTGTTAGCTCTCATCATACGTCGTCTGAGAGGACAATATGTTAGGACTAAGGCACATTCAAAAATCAATCACACACACTAACACAAGAGAATTACGTGGTTCGGCAATAACCTACATCCACGGGAGAGATATCATTATAGAATTATCCCGGAGGGAGTTTACGACACTCACACCTCACTCTCTCTCTCTATAGCATTCTCACTCTCTTACATACATTATATACTCTGTGTTTGTTGCCTCTGTCTGTGTGTTATGTTTCCCTTCCTTCTCATCTCAATTTATACAGAAAAGAGAAGGAAACAAAGTCAAGGAAGGGGAGTTATTGGGCTAGCTACCACCTGCCGTCTCCCCTCCTACTTATTGACTTGGAGCAAACCAGCCAACCTCCAACTACTCCTCCATGTAGGCTAGAGCAGCTAACAATTCTCTGCCTCCACGCCCATATGGATAGCTGACTTCTTTACCTGAAGTCCATTCCGGTTAGATTCTTACAAACTTCTAGTTTGACTCTAGTGACAACCTCGATCATCATGTCAGAAGGATTCTTGTCCGTGTGAATCTTCACTAGCTTCATTAACTATTTTTCTATCACTTCTAGTATCCAATGATACTGGACATCAATGTGCTTTGTACGGGAATGGTACATGGAATTCTCGCTCAGATCAATTGCACTCTAACTATCGCAATATACCTTGTACTCTTCCTACTGTAGACCAAATTCTTGGAGAAACTACTTTAACCACAACATTTCCTTTCCAGTATCTACGGCAGCAATGTACTCTGCCTCTGTTGTAGATAAAACAACACACTTTTGTAGTTTGGATTGCCATGAAACAGCTCCCCCTGCAAAGGTGAATAAAAATCATGATGTAGACTTTTTACCATTAAGATCACTTGCCATATCAGCATCTGTAAAACCCTTTAAAATTGGTTCAACTCCCCCGAAACATAGACACATCTTTGAAGTTCCCTTCAAGTACCGAAGAATCCATTTGACTGCCCCCCAATTCTCCTTTCCTGGATTGGCAAGGAATCTACTCACAACGCCAACTGCGTGAGCTATATCTAGTCGGGTACACACCATTGCGTACATCAAACTTCCTACTGCAGAGGAATATGGGATTGCCTCCATTTCTTTTCTTTCAGAGCTAGTCGTGGGACACAAACTCTTTGCTACCTTGAAATGGTTGGCCAGTGGTGTGCTGATTGGCTTGGCATCTTTTATGTTGAACCTTTCAATCACCTGTTCAACATATTTCTCTTGTGACAGCCATATCTTCTTGGCTTTCCTGTCATGAACAATCTTCATGCCCAAAATCTACTGTGCTTGGCCTAAATTCTTCATGTCAAAATATTACGACAAGTCTTTTTTCAACTTGTCGATTATAGCAATATTATGTCCGATGATTACCATATCATCGACATACAACAATAGAATGATGAAGTTTCCATCCGAAAACCTTCGGAAATATACACACTGGTCTGCTACCGTTCTTGTGTACTCGTGATCCACCATGAATGAATCAAACTTCTTGTACTATTGTCTCGGCGCTTGCTTCAGGCCATAGAGACTCTTCTTCAGTTTGCAGACTAGATTCTATTTCCCTTTAACTTCAAATCCTTTGGGTTGCTCATATAGATCTCTTCCTCCAAATCACCATGGAGAAGGGCAGTCTTGACATCCATCTGTTCTACCTCCAGATTCAAGTGAACTGCGAATCCCAGAGCTATCGAATGGAAGTCATCTTCACAACTAGAGAGAAGATCTCAACAAAATCAATTCCATTCTTCTGCCCAAAACCTTTGACCACCAAATGAGGTTTATGCTGTAATATTTTACCGTTGCCATCTTTCTTCAATTTGTACACCCATTTGTTTTTTAATGCCTTTCTACCCTTTGGAAGTGAAACAAGCTCATAAGTGTGGTTCTTCTGCAAAGAACTTATCTCCTCTTTCATAGCTTGTATCCAGCAATCTTTCTCTATATGACTCTTTGCTTTCGAAAAACTCTCAAGCTCCCCCTCATCAGTAATCAGAATATACTGAGAAGCAGGATATTTGGTTGATGGCACGGCAGCTCTTTCAGATCTCCATAACTGAGGCCCAATTGCCTCTTGTTGAAGGGGTTGCTCCCCTTCCTCAACACCCTCTTCATCCGGGTCCTCATCTCTTTCTTCCTAATCCTCAATTTCTGGCATAGGATCTTGCAACTTTGGCACTTCTTGTTGCACATCATCACATCTAGCATTTTTGTGATGGCTCGGGAGATAGGAACAAGTCTGGAGTGATGACATCTCTAGACTTTGCAGACTTCTCAAAATTTGCTATTGTCTGGTCTTCTTGGAACACATCGCTGCTCCTAAACATCTTCTTATTCACTGGGTCCCACAACTTGTACCCAAATGCTGCATCTAAATAGCCCACAAATATACATGGAGTGGACTTGTCATCAAGCTTCTGTCTGTTTTCCTTGGAGATGCGTACGAACGCCTCACACCCGAAGACTCTCAAGTGAGAATATGATATCTTTCTTCTAGATCAGACTTCCTCATGTATCGCAAAATTCAACTGAACTGAAGGCGACCTGTTGATGAGATAACAGGCTGTACGGGCGACTTCAGCCCAGAATGATTTTGCCAACTTTTCCATTCTGAGCATGCATTTGACTCTTTCAATAATAGTGTAGTTCATCCTCTCTGCTACACCATTATGTTGTGGGGTACTGGGAACTGTTGTCTCGTGCCGGATACCTCTGCTGGCACAATATGCTTCAAAAGTATTGAAAGTGTACTCGCCACCATTGTCTATGGAAAGACACTTTCGGTGTGATGACGTGGCTGATACGCAGTGCAGACGTGGTTGACCCGAGGAGCTGACATGACTGACACGTAGCAATGACGTGGTGACACATGTCACTGACTTGGCCGCTGACATGTCACTAACGCGGCGCTGACACGTAGTGCACTCTCCTTCTTTCCGCCTTGCGTGAGGGTGCTTGGAGCATCGTCTTGGGCTCTTTTTTGCAGTTTTGGACTCCTCTCGTCGAGAGCTTCCTTCTTGTATGCTCAAAAGTTAATTTCGAGCAACTTGATTTCTGGACAAGGGGAGTTATCGGGCTGGCTACCACCTGCCATCTCCCCTCCTACTTCTTGACTTGGAGCAAACCAGCCAACCTCCAACTACTCCTCCATGTGGGCTGGAGCAGCTCACACAATAATGGAAGAATCTACATCATCAAATCTTTGGTATTTTGTGCACTGCTTTTGTCCCTGTCTTTTGTTCTTCTTTTGAATGCATGCTTGGCACAAAACAGGC